GTCGCGGCCTCAGCGGCTCGCCGCGACCGCCTCCGTCTCGGCGGTTGAGTCGCAGTTTTGCCATTCGATATGTTTTGATGATGCAAAGTTTGCCTTCCACGATGCCGTCGATCAAAACGGACTTTTGTGGCGAGGAGACAAAAAAGTAGGACTCACATGTGGAGGGAAGGAGGATGGCCATCAAGTGCTCCCTCTGCCTGGTCAGTGCCAACTTCTCCCTCCTCAGATGCTTTTCGCTGGCCCGGAGCGCCTCAATCACCTGAACGGCCTGAAAACAAACACAGACGGGAAAAGTCCTCAAACTGCAGACATACCGCAAGTAGAAAACGCAGATAAGACTGACGTCAGTACCCCCAATAAATAAATAAATGTCTTTTTCCCGTCAATGACTTCCAATCCCCAGTTTTGACGACTTGGCAAGAGCGCCCAAAACGACTTGGCCCGCAAAATCGTTTTCCTCATCGACCTCGAAATGATCTTGGCAGTGTTCCCAAAGACTCACAAATTCAAATAAAGAACCACCCAAGGCACCAACCATTTCATTTGGAGACAAATCACCAATCGGGCAATTCTGGCTTTGGATGTGGTCACATGACTGGCGGCACTTTTGGATCCTTCCCGTCATACCGTGACACACAATTCGGGCTTGACTGAGCTTGATTTTTTTTTTTTTTTGGGAGCCTTGAGGCCGTCCGATTCGTGTCAAAAATATTTCGCAGTTCAAGCGGCTGCTTCACTTCCAACAGAGATCAGAATTGCAGGCAAAACATTCGACTTTTTTCCTGATATCCGGTCCTTTAGTTGAACTTAAGAACAGGGAGGAATTCGATCTTTGTACCGAGGCCATCAATAAGTATGTCAACATGAACGTGATGTGAGCAGCATGCCCTCCCACATGAAATCGCATTTCTTGGACGCCTTTCTTTTCTCTGCCATCAAGTGACGACTCCCAAAGGAAAACCCGCCCTGCCTTTCTCGCATGTCAAAACACGTCATCGTTGACAGAGCTGTACTCGAAAACGCACCACACGGAGCACGGAGAGCGCCGTCAACTGAAACGGGGCTCCATTTAATTCATGCACAGCATGTTTGCACTGAGGATTGAGGGGAAGAAATTTCATCTATGCTGCATGTCTGTCATACATCAAGCATATTTGACAATAAAGATGACCTTGACCTTGATTTGTCTTCATTTTTTCCATCTTCTTCACTTTGACAAAGTTTCCCAACAAGAAATGTGCGTCCGGAGCCCCGCAAATGCTCAAAGCTAAGCAAAGCGTTCTGCTCCGCGCGGGGGATTTAAAGGGGAAGTCGGCTCCAAAGTTGTCGTGACAAGATGATGCGCCCGCACGAGTCTGAACGCGGCCGTTACGGTCACCCTCAACTTGACTTCACGCACTCACCTCGTGCAACGTGGCGGCGGTGGACACCGCGCGCTCCAGCCGGAGTTCTTTCTTCAACTTGGTAACCATCAGCGATATCCTGTGCCGCCGCATCCTCTCCAAGGCGTTGTGGACCTGTTTCTGCACAGGAAGGTCACATGAGCGGAAGAGGGAGTGAAACGGCCAACGGAGTCAAGTCGGACCCGTTTCGGCCGTCTCGGCACTCCTACGCACGTCCTAAATGGATGACAGCTGGCTTCGGCGGCGGCATCGAAAAGCGTATTCGACGTCAAATGCCATTCCAACGCACGAGTAAAGATCCCGTTTATGACATTTTTCCATCGGACAACATAAGGCGGGTGCACACTGAGGAAAAGGTTTCTCACACTGCCCACGGAGCGGCTCCTCTCTTGGTCGCTGAACTCGTCCGTCAAGTCGGACGAGTGATCCGTCTCGTCGCTGGACGAGTCCACAAGGTTGACGGTGCGGACGACGCGCTCGGGGTCCCGCGGGTCGCCCTCGTCGTCCACAATGCAGACGACGTCCAGGTCCGCCAGGTCCCGGGCGGGCTCCGGTGATCCGGATGACGAAGGCGGCGCGGGTGAGACTCCCGACTCCACAGGAGCCCCCCCGGGGGTCGGCGCGCTTCCGTCTTTTGGGTTATTCAAGAGGCTCAACCGCGCTTGCACGCTGCGGACTTCTGAAATGACGAAGTCGGGAACAGGGCTGCTTTCCTTGGCGGGAGCGGGGGGGGCGCTCAGCCCGGCGGGAACGTGATCTGGTGTGCAGGTGGCGGGAATGGTTCCGGCGAGGACCGGCAGAGAGCGCTTCACCGTGAACGACTTGAAGCCGGAGAGGGCGGACACGGGGCTCGGGAGCACCGGGCCGGCGATGCGGCCGGCGGGAGCCGCAAGAGAAGGAGCTCCGAGGACACCGGGGGAACCTGAACACAACAAGGTGACATTTCAATCCATCTGCCCTTCTGCAAAATACGTCCAATGTCCCGGCAAATAGTGCTCATTTGTAAAGGAATGATTTTTGAGCGGAGGCCAGCCGATTCGACGACCAGCCCCTTTTCTGGTCTGTCGTTAGCTCCTGAGCATCCTGCTTTCACCGGAGAGTCTTGCGCTTTGCTACAAGTGGAGATGGAGAAGACGTGATCTTCGATCCACCACAGATAGCGACCGGAAGGGGCAACAAGGAGAGGAGGGTTCTCGGGTAACTGTCAGCAGCGTTTGGTTGCCGACACAGGCATCTTTGAGACGACTCCGTGTTTACAGGAAACGCTTTATAAAAATAAATGCGTAAACAATCCTGGTGAAGAAAAGCGGAATAAGAAGTTTCTACCCGTACACTCCTGATATGTTTTCATGGAATATGAGGCATTTGGCAAGGTCAGATAAAGCGCCTATTTAATTACAATTGGGACCAAATTGGATTTTTCCATTTGTGGGGAGAATGTCACTTTTTTTTTTCAACACGAATAGCGAACGCGGATTTTGTGCGCTAAGGTCCGAGCTCTCACAATCGAGAGAAAGACAACAAATACTGCTTCAAATGTAGTCGGTCGCATGTTAAATCAAAGACCCTTAACTCATTCACTCCCAAAGACGTTTTTAAACGTCTTTTCAGACTTGGTCTAGAATTGGCTGGGACTGAATGAGTTAAAAGCAGTCCGGTTGTCTTTTCGTTCTCTTGGGCTTGGATCGGCCGTTGGCGTCATCGAGTGTTCGGATGGACCCCAAATTCACCCGTCTTGTTGGGGTTGGCCGCTCTCAGCTGGCTGATGGGGATCAGCTGGACCAGTTTGCCGTCCGGCCTGCGGTAGTAGCGGACGCCTGTCGGGCTTTGCACCTGCCGCAGAATCATCTTGACCGTTGAGGGCGTGGGCACTGCCGAGCGGGACGGGCGTGGAGTCGTGATGCGGGGGCCTGCAAGCGGAACCGTTGAAAACCCCGTCAAGTCACACTTTTGGGACTTCACGATACATTTGGGTGAACCGTATCATCCACAAAATGAAAAACACAGCGATTAAGGGGAATGAGTGCAAGATTCTCAACACAGTCTCTGACATCACCGAGTTGTGTTCTGCGCTCACCTGGAGGCGGAGGTGGGACGAAATAGTAAGTGAGAGCGGGGCCGGACGAAGAGGCGGCGGTCGCCAGCGCGGGGACGGCAGTTGCCGGGGACGTGGCGGCTGCCGTCGAGGTGGCAGTTGACAGCGCGGGAGCGTCGGGGGCCGTAGAAACGGCGGTTGCCGTGATGGCGACGGTTGACGTGGAGGCGGCGGCAGTTGGCGTGGAGCCAACGGTTGATGTGGAGGCCGCGGTGGATGCCGACGTGGCGCTCGACGCCAAAGCGGCGG